GCGGGCAGAGGTCAACGCCAGGGATGCCAGCCAGCTCTACTAGCATGAAGCTTACCGAGGCCTGGCGTTCTAAGCAAGCTTGGATCACTAAGCTTGTAATGTTGGCCATGTCAAGGAAGTTCAGGTGACGGTAAAGGTCAGCAGCTATAGATAGCTGGAACAGCATGAGTGCAGGTTCATGGGACCCTCACTCTTTGATGACTGCTTGGATCCAGGCAATCAGTGGTCTTCATCTCTCCATGGAGTGACGGCCATTGCTCGGAGTCTCCAAGAGCATACTATAGGCCCATAGGTGTTCCTTCCGGGTATTCATGTAGATTGATTTACATCATGCGATTGCCTAATGCTTCTATGCTGGGTCTTTGGCTTTTGAATATGAAGATGTTGGAACGGTAGATAGGGGGCCTAAGGCAGATGAATCTCAGCACCGCGTTACTTGCGTTGAGCCTTTTGTTTCTCTGCCTTGTGGTCCGGATTTTGAGTGCCAAGGTGGAATCCATGTTTAGGCACTAAGCTGGGGACTCTGACAAGCTTACTATAGAAATCCTTGCTGCGAGAGGCTTCCACCAGGGTGTGCGAAGGCTCACAGATGCCACAAGGGTTCTGTGCAGCTGCCAAAAGACGGTTCCATCAGCTGTGAAAGGGTCACAGCCGGGGCGCAAATCCTTCCTCCTGTCCGCAAGTGTCCCCTTGATTACTGTTGTTGTCATCGGCATCTTGGACCATGTTGAAAGTCGTTCGTCGTTCAAGTATGCTCGTAGGCTTGGGGTGCCAACAGGTCAGAACAGTTGCCCTCTGGATGCTGGCCGCCGGCAATTTCAACCACAGCTCCTAAAAGAGAGGTGCATGATCGGGACAGCTGATCATAGGGATGGGGACAGAATCGAGGCGTGAAAGAGTCTACCCAAAACATGATTATGTGAAGGTGAAAGAAGACCTAGTACACCCAGAGCGTCCTCCTCCCTTGATCCCCACATCTGCTCGAAGAGTCGCCATTCTGACTTCTAGGGAAGATCAGTGCGACCCACTGCAAAGTGGTTGCTCCAATGGTGATACAGATGGCACTCCAAGTTTCTTGCAATTAGTGACTTGTGAGTGGCCTTATCAAGGCAGAATGCTTCAGTTTTTTTCTCCAGCCTCCTGGCAGATGTCGTACAGTCAGGCGGCCCCAGAATCAACTGGCAGAGCTTGATTAGCGGGCTAGCTAAACTGGGGCCGCCATGGTCAAGGCCTCTGCAGACATGACTGAACTCCCGGTTTCCCTGAGGGTGTTTGCCAGGAGATGCAGTCAATGATTTTCAACAGAAGGAGGACGAGCGAGGTAGCGTCCGTGTCCAACACCCCAGTCGGGGAAACTTAAGGTTCCAGCAGTGCAGGATACAAAGTCGACATTGACGAATCCTTGGATCCACTTGACGTGAAGGTAGCCCTGATCATCGACACTCTAGAACTAGGTTCCTCGCATTGTCAAAACAAGAGCTAAGAATTCACATCCGGACAGCTAACTGGCAACGTTGCCTTCACGTGACGGCAATGTTGAGTAAAAGAGTTCATTCTCATCATATCTACACAGCTAGACACTGACTTACAGCTGCTCAGATTACAGCTCACGTGCGGTCTCGTTCGCCAGCTGGATTGGATGGTTGAGGACAGAAGCCGCCTGCCAGGCTAGAAAGAGCTTCCCCAAACATTCAGGCATTCATTTTCTAGGATTGAGCAAGGCTCGCCCCACATTTGCAGGTTGTCTCTGACTTATTTTTCATGTGATGTGGGTTTTTGATTCGATGGGCTGTGGCTCGGTGTAGGATGGCTTTCAAGGTCCCAAGCCCGTCACATCAATTCTCAGATTGCTGTAATCCTTGTGGCATGATTCCACAACATTGTCTTCCAGGTGCATGACATTTATCCAAGAAGGAAGCCTGTGACCCAAGATCATACACAGTATCGCGACCCTAGAGACGAGGATGTTATGAGATTGACTCGGGAAAACTTAGAGTTGCCATGTTTCTACTAAACATCAATGACCCGTCTAGCTGGACTCCATTTCCCCTGATGTCCATGAGGCTAACAATCCCTTTACACTACATAGGAATACACAGGACGAGTGTTCGGACAGCAGGATGGCTTTCTTTGAATTAGTCAGCTTGGAAACTTGCACACCAAGTTGCAAGGGCGGCTGACGAAACAAGTTGAAGCCATGCATTGTCATGCGGCTTATCCAGACTCAGTTAGAGCAAATTAGGATGCAGTGCTTCCTTGCGCAGCTAAGTTCAACTCACGTATGTCCGCTTTGCTAAGACTTACTACAGTAGACCCCTGTTACTTTTGCTATTGCGCAGCTGAATTCCATTTCCTAACAGTTTTCAGCTCAAGAAGCTGTTCCACATCTGCTGGGGAGGTATTGGGCCCTCCCTGGGCATGTACAGTCACGACCCCGGCAGGTTTCTCATTTTGTCCGGAGAAGCCCCTAAGCCCTTTGCCTTTAGTTGAAGATCCTCTCCATGACTCCTTGACCTTATAAGCCCCGCATCGAAGCGTTATTCTCAAAAGGCTGATGGCTTCTCTCAAGCAACACACCATCTGCAGCCAACAAGCTGTTCCGCAGCAGATCTGCGACACGTAGTTTAAGCCCATCCGGCCTGTAGGGCATACAGGTGCCTCACACGAAGCTCTTGTTTTCGAAAGCGCAGACTACATCCGCTGCTGAGAGCAGTGCACTGATTCGGTCTCAGAAGTCTAAGCATATGGGGACTCTAGAAGCATACCGTAGCAACAATCATCGCATGTAAGCGCCGTAAAGATGGCAGCGAAAAGACTTGCAAACCGCAACCATGAGCAAACACAACAAGCGCACAAAACTTCTTGAATCTTGACCCTACCTGCTGGCGTGTGGCAGTGGCAGGTTGGCACTCAGGGCCTAGCCCATTCATCGGGGTTGCTGTGCCAGGTAGTTCTCAGCAACTGTCAGAATTCCTCGTATCACCAGCCCAGCATTTCACGGGGATGCCGCGACATTCACAAACAATCCGTTTGCTGCAATCAGACTATGCCTGGCCGGATGGGCGATGCTGCATCTTGATTCAGCAGAGCCTGAATTTCAACGGATGGTTGTACCTCAGGCAGGGCCAGATGGTGATGCGTCAATGGTGTCAGATGAACCAACAGCAACTTAATTCGCCGCGGGCCCCAGAAGAAAGCCACTTAAAGGGCTTCCGCTGCAGTCTTAAGCCTCTTGCACCTTGCCACGTCATAGGCGAAAGCTGTGAGTCATGGCTGCCGGCTTTTGTGTTTCTCCAATACTGTGGGTTCGACATCTTGTGCGCAGAAGGCTGCAGTAGCGAGGCGTGGCAAGCAGGGTAAGGCGAACAATTCCGCCTGCTGCGAGCAGTTGCATATGGCGGCAAAAAAAGAACGCGGGCGTCGCGATAGTGTCGGGTATCCCATGGTTTGCCCGGGTATGTATGTGGTGCGTCTGGTGTGTATTTGTGGATCTTGCCCCTTAGCGAATGCTTTCATGCAGGTTGGGCTTCAAGGGTGGTGTGGTTTCATTTTACGTGCCACCAAATGCTAGTATCTGAAGGCAGGGGGCAAACTCGCAGTTGTCCCGGCAAGGCATACTATTACTGTTGATGAAGAATCTCGGCCACCTGCATAATGTGCCATGCCAATCAAGATAGACATGACTGCGGTGACATTAGATTGAGGGTATTCATCACTAAGCACTAAGCTTGGTTCTGTATTTTCCAGGAGATTGGGAAGGACGTGTGGGGATCGACAGCCGCGCCATGACTGAGACCGATTAACGCGGTAAAGATTTAATAGTAGGCATGCCGACTTGCCATATCATTGCCAACTTTGGCTAGTTATCTCGCCTGCTCACTTGCGCCCAGGTGACGATTGTGCTTGCACGCAAGGGGATGCGCTTCATTGCATTTGTGACTTGGTTCAACTTTCCAGGCAAATCTTGCACTGAGGTTGTGCGAAAAGGGCGGTGGGACAGTAGACCGGCTGGAAAAGGCATCGGGGCATAGCGACAGAGACCTTCCAGATTTATGGATTATTCAAGTCCCATAGATTTCAAGCGTAAACTTTGGAGCCTTTAATTAATCTTAAACTTTCTGTTTAATCAAGAGCTCAGATTAAAGCAGTTTCAGTGTTAGGAAGACTAAATTACCCGGCTGCTTCATTAGGATTCACAACATTGCATGAGATGCCCTTGTGGATTTTGCATGCTTGGAGCTTTCCTCATATTCCTGGCAGTATTCAACAAACCTTGGAATCCTAGAAAACTCGTTCAGGGTCATTAGTTTCCGGAGTTGTTCTGAAGACCCAATTCAATTAGTACAGCTAGTAGGGAACACCTGATTTTCTTCCTTAGGCTGCTCCTAAGATGAGAGTAGAAGAGCTGATTCTGAGGCGTGATTCGGTTGTTAAAATTCATGGGTGACTAAAGGTCAAGCAGTGCTTCCTCAGCTACCCTTTACGGACCAAGGATCTCTCTTCTCTTTTCTGGCATTATGCACAACCCCCTAGAACTGTAGCAAAAAAGTACGTAGTCATAAGCTTTGCACGGCTGTTCTGGGGACTTGATTAGCTTGGCTCTCGCTTCCTGCTTCCTCGAACTATTGCTCTTATGTTTTATCCAACTCCTCCAGGTTCTAGTTTCGGCAGCCTAGTCAGGGCCAATATGTGCGGCTGCTGAGTTCTCATTTGCGCATCGATCTAGTATCATAAGTTCTCATTCGAAAGATGCTTATCCAAGAGGTTTTTCCGTACTTTGTATTTCGGCGCTTGTTAGTCAAGGGCTGGGATTGCTGCGGGCTTCGATCTGGATATTGGGATTTCGACAGTTCGTCTGGAATGCAGCCAAGCGGTTCGTCGTTATTTCTTTAACTGCAGTGACAGGCATCCAAATGCTGTCTGGTGTTGGTTACTGCCGTGGTATTACCTAAGTGCTGAAAAGGATTCCGTCCGACCCCGAGCGCCTTGCGGCCACTAAGACAAGCCAGTTCACTGACGTGACGAATATCGTGGTTGGCTTGGGGCGCGTGTTCGTCCTCTCCCGCGGTGGCGCAGATGGCAACACAGTGATCCGGCCACCTTTAGTAAGACAGTAACGAAACCTTCTTTATTGGTATCAAACAGAAGCTCAGTGTGTTGGTGGCCTGGCTAGCAGCCTCAAATGTAAGGTTGTGGAATGTGCTGTGCGAATTTTTGACATGACTTCATATGCATGCCGATTGACATGCCTTCAAATACCAGCCAGCAGCGCGAAAGATGAAGACCCATCGAGTTAAGAGAGCTGCAGGAAAGGGGCCTGTTCACCATGTCGTCTAGGTCCCTGACTCCTATTCTGAAAATTACTGCAAAGCTACCTGGCATCCAAAGAAGGTTATTGGAAGAGGACAACCGGCTGTTGCAAAAGCACTGCGGATTTGAACTGGGAGTAAAGGTACAGGTCGCAGTCTGCTCATGAGGGCGCTAGGGCAGGGGATGGAGAACCCTCTCCCTCAATCCCTGCAGCCCCCCTTCTCCTCGCTGCTTGGTAGGTTCTCTTCGAACTGCGTGAGAAGCCTTTAGAAGAGCGACTTGCGCCGGCCTCTGCAGGGCTTTTTTTACGATGTAAGCTTGGTGTTGGGGGTCAGGTTCAGGGTAGACGGATTTCACGTCAGGGTTGAGGGTCTTTGGTTTCTGGTCACGGTGTTTGGCTGGCTTGGCCGTCTGCCCTGAATATTCTGTAAGGTTCTGCATTACAACACCGAGCCAAATGAGAATGTGAGCTCTGTTTGCAGATCGCAGTAAGTAGTCATTGATTAAACGTGGGGTCTGAAAGGTCAGTGGTTCCCGTCGGTGGTTGCCTCAACTCTGCAAGAACGCCGTACTTGGGCGGCGATGTTGCTTTTGAGACCGTGGATTCCTAGGAGCAGCTGCTATCCAAACCCAATCCTCCAGCCAAATCTGTTATGACCTTAAACCCGGTACGCGCCTACGCCACCCCGCAAGAGATGGACGAATCCCTACTTAGCAAACTGCGGGGTGGCTTGTCTCAAAAACCGCTTGAAGAAGTACCTGAAGCCCTTGTGGATTGAGGACGTGCTCGTCCAGAAGCGAATGTTCGAGTGGGCTGCTGAGGCTTGGACCACGGGGCATGAGACTCGAGATAAGTTTAGGAAGGCTTGGGGGCTAGGTTTCAAGGAGGTGAAGAGGTTGGTGTTGAGGGTTCATGGTGAGACCAGGGTTTATTGTTGATGTTTGGGGGCTGAGATTTCATGCTACAGCGCCGTTTCCAAAACGTGTCAAGCTGGCAGGCCATTCCTCACGCTCAGTGTAAAGGAAAACGTTCATCGGATACTTCCGTTCATCTGGTTACAGGATGCCACGCGGAGGTCCAAGGTGAAGCTTGTCTTGTGAGATTTCAGACGGTTTTGGTACTGTAGGCTTGGGGGGCTAAAGTCTCTACAACACAATGACGAAGGCATGTCATGTCGCACTTTGCAACGGGCATGCTCTAGCCATTTGCAAGGCAGGCAGGAAAGCTGACAATTGTGATTTGGATACTCCAACCCTGACCCCGGATAGCAAATTTGTCGGATTGACAACAGCATGCCCCACATAAAAGTACATTGCACGGAGACCTTGCAAAGACCGGTCCGAAGCCCACATGATCTCCCAGCTTATAAGGATAGACCTGTGATCTGATGAGTTCCCGGGGCGTGCTTTCACCTTTTCGCTGTGGTCCCCCTGACTCCTCACAGTGAGGGTCTTACGCTGCCTTGTGTAGAGTCGTCCAATATCTTGACTTTCCAGCCGGGTGCAGCGTCAAGAAAAATCAAGAACCCTGAGCGGTGAAGCGGAGGTTGCTTTGTCCTGCAACGCAGCTCCTGAGGCGTTCCCGGGCATGAGGACAAAGTCTCGGGGTGGGGATGGGTGGGGTAGCGTCAAAACTAAGTCTGGGGTGCGACATGGGGATATTTGTAGGGGCTCAGGCTCAGGTTTAGGGTTTTAAGTTTGAAAGGTAAGTTGAAAGCTAAATGTTGCAGTTTGGTAATTCTCCTATGTATGGTTGTTGGAATGAGGTTGACTTACCACTGCACTTGCTGGGGTCAGCACATGCATGCCAAACTTTGCTGGCAAGACGCACCTGCAATGGAATCTGGTCCGCAGTATTTACTTAATTCTGCCATGAACCCTAGCACCACAGTCCCGGCCCGCGGTATACAACTCCCGACACCGCCCAGAGATCAACCAAAAGAAGGCGTATGTTGCCAGGTGACTGCTGACCTGTACAGGCAGCACGGCGACGCCCTCTTTGAGAAGCGGGCGTATGATCAGGTTGGCGGCCTCAACTGGCAAAGGGTCATTGAGTTGGCTGGGATGTAGACAAGCTGAAGCAAACAGGTTGACAGAGCACTGGGATCACCCAGGTAGCGCGGCTTCAGGGTGAATACAATTGTGTTAATTAGGCCATTGTTTGTTGGTTGGTACTCGTAGCGCTCTCTTCTGGGTACTTGAAGCATTGAATCGCTGTGGCACTGTGATGTTATGACATGGTTGTGATGTTACTCTGCTGTTAGCTTAGCACCCGGCCCAGGCACTCAGCGTCTATGTCAAGACTGTGGAGTTGGGACTCCCTTTGGAGCCTTCTTATGTGGTGGAGAGATACCTTGATGCCCAGAGGCCATGGTGGCTTGGTGGGACTTGGATGAGGGTTTGGGATTGGACTTTGTGGAAAGTTTTGCGGCTGAGGGTTAGTTGTACCCGGCTTCTGGGCTGTACATGGGGAACCCTGCTTATGACCGTGGGGTGTAAAATGTCACGCTACCGCTGGACAAATCTGCTTCGGCATCCTGGTTGGATGATCTGGTGTCAGCAGCGATGCCTTGAGGTTGACATAAATGAGAGGAGGGGATTGCTCAGGGCCTTGCTTTTGCAACAGGCTTTGGCTTCGTGGTAATCCCTTTGAAGTCCGAAATTTCGACTCCCAATTAGCGTGAGTGGCCTTAATTGTGCGAAGCTTGGCTGAGATTACAAATTTATAGCCTTTACCTCAGCAAACGAGCTTGGAAACCCAGTCATGTTGATTTCAAACTACGGCCCAAAGTTGTTTGCAGGGTATACCCATCACGAACCTTTTTGTGTAAGTGGGGTCAGACACACTAATCAGGATCCCACATTACGTGATGCTGGACTCAATTCTCCGTTTCATGACTGGATAGCTTGGAAAGCAGACAGAATCCGCCCCCAGAAAATCCGACAACTATTGAGTTTTCGCCCAACGCTGTCCTGGCAGAATTGGCCATGTGGCGCAGTATCTCAAAAAGCTACACGAGAAGGCAAGGAGCTTGACACTACTTGGAGAGCAGTCCAGTCAAGCGTTTGTTGTAACCCAGCGCGTGGCGGCGTAGGGAAGGGGGTTCGGGTTCGGGTGGAACTGAACAGCAGTTTTCTTTGACAGTTCACGCAGTACGAGACGTCGCAGTCGCATGCCTGTCAACTGTCAACGCAGCTGTTTCTTGGACCAAGAACCCTTCATGGCCCATCCCGAGGAAGACCACGCACAATTCCAAATCAGCGGACAGTTCACTCTCAAGAGGTCCAGATCATCTAGGACCTCGTTTTTTAGAGACACATTGAGCAAACCACCAGACCTGCGCACGGCATGAGACCATGCCTGAGAAGTCCAGATCATCTAGGACCCCATTTTTTAGAGACACATTGAGCAAACCACCAGACCTGCGCACGGCATGAGACCATGCCTGATCTATCCCGTGAGTTCCTCTTGCACAGATGTCCTGTTGTGAACAGAAGCAGCAAATCTCCCGCGGCAACCTCTTCCACAGCCCCCTGTACGGACCCACTACTACCCGGCAGCGTTCAGCGCTATGATTTACACGTTGCCTTCTAGCACATGAGTGACTGACGAAGTTTGCTCAGCCGGCCTGGCCGCATGGGATATGGATCGTCTAATGCGTTCCAGCGATTCCTCCGAGACCTCCCCGGATGCTGCCGGCGAGGCAGCCCCTGGCACAGGGTTGGAGACTATTGCCTAGATCGCCATGGCCTTGAAATTGTAAAGTTCATGAAGAGCCTCACCGACAGACGGAGTGTGAGTTTCCCCAGCCAAAATTTGATGGATCACTTCAGCTCAAACCTTGTTTCAAGCTGTAAAGACCTTCGCGCCCCAGACCACGAAACCTCGAAACATCTGCCCAAAACCACCCGGCTAATCTCCGACGGTGCTTGGAGTTGAAACCGCAAACTCAAGCTCGAGATCTGCACTGATGATTGTGAATGTTCTCCTCCTGGCCCCGCACTGCCGCCGCCACCATTATCCATACAAGATTTTTTCAAAATATCCCCTACATGATCCTTGATTTGTAGCGGCCGCTATAATTGCTTCAGAATCCGCATATCAGCATCGCTGCGCTTACTGGTCAATGATGTTCGAAGGCACTGGACATGCTCCGGTCTCTTCTGGTGGCTCACATTGGGAAGCGCTCCAAAAGAACCTTGTTTGATGGTTTGGCGTTTAGCTTGGGCTTTGGGCTCTTAGGTTTTTTGCAAGTTGGGCTTAGGACTCAGGGTTGTTGGTGCACAGCACCCGCTGCGTCGGCGATGTCGGAGTCAACGCAAAGTTTCTCACAAGGAGTTTTAGAGGGACCCTGCAGTGTCCTTACATAGGCCGATACTTCTGATTTAGCTGGGCTTCCAGTAGGAGTGTCTTCGACTTACAACCCTTGTGGGCTGAAAGCACTGGGACCTTGATTTGGGCATTTCAAGCAATGAGGCGATATCCTCAGCATCATGGCGGATCCGAGTTTGCCATTTCGGCTGTACCCAGAGCATCAGAGGCATGCATGCACACGTTCAGGGTCCGGAGGTTGGGAAGGTGTGTGACCTTGAATCTTAAAACCCCAACTCCACCCCTGGGCATTCACTCACAGCGTTTCCCGTCACTTCATGTTCGTCGCCGCATGTCAGACCATTTTGGGTCTTCTTGCAAGCATACGCTCTCTTGCTAATTGGGGGTAATTGGGGGCCTTGCAGGAAGCATTCTCTTGTGTTCAACAGTGCTTGTTTTGCGGTACGCCATGCCTATTTCAGAGGTTGCAGTCTGCAAGCCATCCAGGAGTAGTGGCCAGGGTTGTGAAGATGTTCTGCACGCTGCGTGCGGAAGCACTAGCTACCTGAAACAGCTGCGTTGGCCATTCATTTGTGTTTCTTTGTTATGAAACAGGTCCGACGGCAATCGTTGAAATGTCCCGTGAATAACCTACCTGACATTCCAGCATGACCGATTTCCGCTCACTCCGTATCTAGGGCTTAGGGTGAACAATTGTGTCGTCTTGCCATGTATTGCATCCTAACCCCTAAACTACCATGCAACCTCAGAAAATGCCCTATAGAGATTGATGTCCATGTAAACTGGAGCCCTATATGGCTCCATGTTTGGTTACGTACTGTGGTTAGTAGGGACTAAGGGACTATGATCCCCACAATCTAATGCCTACTCGTACAGACTGCATTCGTTTATTCCCACTAGACCGGATCCTAACCCTAAACCCTACCGATATATGTAATTAAATTACATATACATATATAGTTGTATACCCGCATTCCCCACTAACCCACAGTAAGTTTATGGAGGGTAATCACTCCCAAAGTTTCATTAGACGGGGGCCGGCTTAGGAAATCGGCATACTGGAACTCGAAGTCCCGCAATTAGGAATATTAATTCCCAACATAGTACCATGATGCAATTTTAGATGCCAATTTAACTATATTCAAGCAATCATAATGTTATTAGGGGGTGGGCGAGGCGTATTTAAGGGAGGGGATTAGATGGACAACTACTGTGCACCAGAGCCTGCATATATGGTAGCACCTCTAAAGAAGGAGCCCTTCATGTTGATGTATCCCATTGGAAGAGTTGCGAGGGTCTGGCTTGAGCAGAAGTGGTGGTTTCCAAAGATCATGACCAGGTGCCCTTGTCTGGGAGTCCGCACATTGAGAATTAAAGTATATTGAGTTCTGTATGTGTCAATATATTGAGCCCCGTATTCATGGAAACCCCAAGTTGTCCACACGAGGCACTACGAAGAATACCTCACTGCCTTCGAGGCAGGCCATGTTATGTATAGGGGGATCCTGCATGGCATGAGCATTTGGCTAAGAACGGGCTGGCGTAAACATACGACATGCTGCAGAGGGCCTCCATAGTTTGAAGTGCAAGGCTGCGACTTTCGGCTGTTTTGAGGTGCATATTGACTTGGATACTTGGGAGAAGCCTATTGTGTCTGGCTGGATAGCCCTTCCAAATTAGAGTGAATGCGAGCAATCCCCTCCAGTTCCCTGAAGAGCACGCCCTTACAATCCCAATACCGACATATGTAATCCTTGTAGAGCCAAGTGCGAATTTTCCCTTCAAGCCGCCCAGGCAAACTCAGGCTCTCTCAGCCCTGCAAGTTCAGTATTCACACTTGCCGCAGCACTGCCATGCGTGATTTTGCTGTTTGTCTTGCTTTTTGAAGTGTATCTGTTATGCTCACACGCTGCAAGCTCCATTTTTCTAGTGACTTTAGGAGGGACCCCTAAT